ATTATCATTTTACTAACCCTCTTTGCTTACCTTTATCTAACACTCACATCGATATAGAGCGAAATACGGACATGCTATATCGACTCACTACACCACTAACCGCTAGACAATTTACTTACGTTGGATATAAAAAATCACTAAAAACACACACTGCACCTAGAGCTAACGAATATACACTCGAATACTATGATCACAACATCATCAGAGCTAACCAAGATCAATTCTTAGACGACGATCGCTTCGCTAATCCACAAATTACCGAGAAATTTTTCATCAAGACACCATATATATTTACACTAAACATCTTCGACCGAAAGTTTGATCACATTATTTCAGAAGCACTAACAGACACACAAGCATACGAAAGTTTTAAAGAACGCTTCCAAATATTTTCACTAACCTTTCATTTCCTTGCACCACACGAAAGAGATTTACACTGCTCACACGATATTATGTTGCGCACTAAACAAACCCACACATATAGTTATTATCGCTTCATCCAAAATCACTTTGACCTACACACACCCTCTAGACAACCACACCATCGTTTTCAATTCATTAATTCCAAATACACTTCACCATTTTTCCTAAATTTCACATATTGCATTAAAGATACTAACCTTCATGGTATTCTTCGCAATTATGATCCCATAACCCAAATGTACATCTTCTGTCCCATCACCAAGACCTTCAACGCCGAAGAATCCCGACCCTTCCTTATCCCGCACGAGTTTGTACAACCTATAGAAATCCCAATTTTAGAATTCATCCACAACACTAAATTCAATCACAAATTATATAATCTAATCCAAAACACACCTTATGAGTTTGCAGTTGGCACTGAAGAACTAACCACTATTAAGGCACTTCAATTGCTTTGGCCACTGCTTCAGACTAAAAATATCATCCGCATCTTAGCTAAACTACTAACAAATTCCGATCTCATCCACGACATCTTCCCCCACGGTTTTTTCCCCGACGACTAACAGGTAAGTATGAATTAAATGAATATTACTAACTAATTAAAATATTAAAAAACTCACCATACTTTATCCATGTTTTCTTTAGATTTTTAGCCTTCATCCGACAATCACCTACAAAAACCACAAAAGACAAATAAAAATCGCAAATTTCATCAAACAGATTTCAAAAATTCTATTAATCTCTTACACTTATAAATTTATAAATTTAATACCAATGCAGTAAATTCATTTCTAAAATTTTCCCCACAAGCAGTAAATCTAATTATGATGAAAATTTGTAACTTAAAATTCCCCCATAACTAGCAGTAAATTTCCAAATTCTATGCAGTAAATTAATAAAATGCAAATGCAGTACTAACTTTTTGATATTCTCATTCATTCGCACAGAAATTCTATCCACACTCGCACAGCTCGCCCACGAAGAATTGTTTAAAATAATGAATTTCAGTTTCAAGTTTTCACACTCAACAACTCTAACATATAATAACATGTTTCAAACCTTCCTTTAACCCGGTTGGAAAGGAATCATATACTAAACAAAACTAACCAACGCAGCTTACTAAATACCACAAATCATAGAATAACAGCATGACTAAGAAAAGGAAACCAACGGTACCCAAACCGGATTAACCCAGTTTAAAACTGGATAATTTATTCTTTTGAAGACTATTATAAAGTCTAAGAAAGAAATAATAAAACACAAAAAAGTCGAAAGACAAACCCATACCACGAACAATTTGCTTTTTGGAAAAAGGACATAACCAACAAGACATAAGAAAAACCACAACAAACCCAACATAAAACGTTGTCACATAACAGGACCCCTCATAAAAACCGCATGAAATCATACTCCCACTCCTGGCCTAACCCACCAGGAAGGACGTCCTGAGCATGCTCTATAGCCGGCCTAACCCACCGCGCTACATCCACGCTTTGTGACCACACCTCTATTTTTAATAAGAGCTATTCAAGGGTGAGTAACTCTTCAAAATAACCGAACTAAAACAAAAAGCTTTTGTGAAAACAACTAACTAAAATCATAATTAAAAAATATTAAACTAATAAATGTTTTATAAAATGTAAATTACATTATGCAATACATAGATCAGAATATAACACCAAGGACGAACATCTAAAGACAAAACGACCCCACTACACTCGAGAGAGAATGGCCAACCACAATCGATATGCCACTCACAATCACAACTCAAAGGATTTAGAGTACGACTTGACTTCGCAGAAAAGGACTTCATTGAACTAGACCAATGACCACCTCGATGTTCAAGTATACGTACAGATCCGAGTAACCAGGCATCCCCTCCACGCACAATCTCCACGCCATTCCCAAACTAGATCAGACACAAAAGAAGTTCTCCACGCAGAACAGAAAAACCTGACATAGCCAACCATTCTGAAATCAGATTTGAGTTTGTTGCAAAGACTTAGTCGTTGTCACTAGAAGACACAACGTCTTATGTCTCTAACTCCAGCTTCCTGGAACTTCTTTAACAAAGAGGAAACGGAAGAAAATGATGTTCGCCAAAAACCAACGTCCATCATCCATCCTTCGAATCGCAGAAGAACTATTCTAAAAAACTCTGTAAAACCCGGATGGGTGGAACCTGATCTAAACTACATTTTATGATTGGATAAATTAGATATTTTACCAATGTAAAGTATTTAATATTAACCAATCATGATCCATCTAACTAACAACCCACTTATTTGTAAGTGCTGAAGTTACTTGTAATTTCAGCACCAGAGAGATTTGAATTTAACTTAGAAATTAGTTGGACTCTCCCGAGCACTTCAGCAGCCGCAATAAACCAGTATACCCTAGATCTATTGAGCCTAGCAGAGACTAGTTAAACAACCTGAGACTAGATAGTATAAGAGTAAGATTAGGATCGGTATTAGACTAAGAAGTTGCACGAATCTATCCGGCCGAAAATAAGATAGCGTGACGAGCAGACGGTGTACCCTATCCGAAATTACTCTATGAGTTATACACTCCAGTCCTAACTCAAAAGCTCAATGCGCCTTAAAAAACGTTACCTTGAAATTCAGACTTCATTTAATTTTAAAAAAAGTTTAAAATTGAGCCAACACTTAATTTGAAGCAAACTTTAATGCAAGGCACTTCCTGAATTAGTGATCAACCCCACCCCGACAGGTAATGGTTTGCACCAAATATGGAGCGCCGCATAGGGGTGTTTGTTCATGGAATTTCAGTTGTATGCTACACTGTGTAAATGCACCTCAATTTCACACCTAATTTTATCTTTATTTTTTGTTATCTATCACGCCAAAACTTTTTCGTCTCATATTTTCAGATTTTTGAAAAAGAAAGTAATGTTTTCAGATTTTTGAAAAAGAAAGTAGTGTTCTCAGATTTTTGAAAAAGAAAGTAATGTTGTCTTAACTTCCCGTATTTGATTTTCCCGTGTATTCGGTTGCTTAGCTCCAACCTAGAACACCCATGAAATGTAATTTTTTCGTCCGAAGAAAATGACAGGTTGTTTGTGCTCGGCGTATTTTTTTCTCAAAGCAACAAAGTTCGACTTTTTCTCTATAAAGCTTTTTGACTGAGTTAACCTAAGCGGTCTAAACCGTTTTAATGCCCTGTCGTTTGACAAAATAAATATCACCTATGAGCAATTTCAGCAAAAATTATGATGGGTTGAAAATTACCTATTTGGGCAATTTGGTGTAACTATTTTGGTTTTTTGAAGTTTTCTGTTAACACGTAGAGTTGACGTCAAATAAATAGGCTCAGAATCACTTCACTTGACAATGTCTGTAGAGGGAAAAAAACTTTCAACTTTTCTTATTTTGTTGAAAATATCATTTTAACATTATAAATATTCAAATATCTTTACAGTCAGTTACAACATTCAATTGCCCTTACTTTGAGGCGTTTTGCATCCTTATTGTAAGTGGTTATCGTTTTATTAACTAAAATGCCCCTTTTGAAATTATCCAGGTGCGGGTCTATGGTGTCTTTGTTAGAAGATAACTTTGTTTAAAAATCAAAAGTTTCCCGGGTTGACCTCCAGAGACCGAAAATGCTAATCATAAAATTGCATAAACTAAGCCTATGAAAAAATACAAATCATACAAGTTTGATACTTTTTGCTGAAGTGAAGTAATCGAATTTTCAAAGAACTTGCTCTTGTTTTGGCATAAAATTCAATGTATCGTCATAAATAAAAAGAAAAATTTTTGTCAAAAAACGCTGATCTTACAATTTTATTTATAGAAATTTTATGACTAGCATTTTTTTTGATGACGACAGCAAAAGTGTTTTTATGTACCATCGCAGTTGCGCTAAAAACTGTTATTTTTTTCAATCTTCTGATAAAATTTTGTACTTAAACAAACAATTTAAAAAAAAATTTTGCAAGCAAAAATTGGACTTTCGTGTGCATAACCTAGTCCTAAATACACAAAATTTGATTTTTTTTTCATTTCTCCATATAATTAAGAAATGTAAAGAAGCGCTCAAAATGCCTATTTACTTTGTATGGCATGCTTTTGTATGCCATGATCAAGGCATGATCAATTAAAGTTTAAATTTTTTTAAAAAAATTATCTTTTGATACTTTCATAGTTTCATTATATCATTTGTTCAAAACAAAACTAAGAAAATTCAGGCTGTTTCCTATGCCTTGTTATTTCCAGACGGTCAAACTTTTGGTGATTCTACTTCTGAGTAACCAAGGTCTTTCTTTGCCACTTGTGTTCGGTTAAAATTTTTGAAAAATTAAATTTTATGGAATATTAAATTTTTTGATTTTTGGAAAAATGCTAGTTACACTGTTTCCATATAAGAAAAATCACTGATCATATATCAAAAAAATGCAATTGTAAATTACCTCACTGACAATAATGAACTAGATAATTTATTTAATTTGCTAGTATTTAATATTCTAAATATATTCGAAATCTTATCTAGTTCATGTTAAATTTTTCTCTGAAAGCAAAAAATCCGAATAAATAAAACAATTTATGTTTCAGAAAACTCCGACTTCGCTCTTGGCTCCGAAGACTCCCTCCTGATTGCATGAAACCATTTAACAGCAGCAGAGAGCCAGGATGAGACTTGTTTTCAGATTAAACATTTAAAACTGGTCATCACAGGAACTGTGGGATTTATTCAATTGACTAACACATAAATACTAACCATAATAGGACAGCTTCCAAATTAAAAACTAAATCTTTTCGTTGAACTTTGTTTTCAAGTTCATTTCAAAATAGAACATATAATTCAGAAAATAGTTTTAAATTCTAGTTTAATTTCAGAAATAAGTGTACAGAAATAAGAGATCATTGATTAGTTCTTCTTCCAAAACGAAAAAAAAATAGCATCAGGACTTTGTCTTGTCAAGTCCAAAAGCATGTCAATCCGACCTTCGCTTTAAATGACGATTGAGTGTTAATAATCTGATCGATTTTTTTTTTATTCATTGAGTTTTTAAAAAGCACCAATTAATTGAAAACGTTGCCGCTCTTTTTATTAAACCAAAAAAATTTCAATGTTTAATGGCACTTTAATTATAGTCGCCATGGAACAAGAAGTTGCCGCTAAGAATTGCGCTTGATTTTTGTTTCAAAAACGGATTTTGTTTTTTGATTTTCCAGCTCAGTAAAAAAGTTTTATCAATTCAGTTTTCCCAGTTTGAATGTTTTTTTTGTTAAAGAATAAATCTCTAAAAAGTTATGAAGTTTAATGAGCCTCAAGATGATATAATTTTTCTTCTTAGTCAAAAGTTGCAAAAAAAATTTTAAAAAATCTGTCACTTTCTTTATTTGCATTAGAAAAAAGTAACCAAATCCCAAAAGAAAACAGGGATAGCCGGTTACTGTGCAAGTAGCACAGAATGTTCCGACCATAGTCTTAAAAAATCAAACAGGATTTTTTCAAATTATTGTCGTTTTTTTTCGGCGTGGCCTAAACATAAAAACTGGAGATTAGGTAAGCAAATTGAAAAAAATATATTTCAAGTTTCTTTGCAGTTTTTATGAATTTTTGAAAATTTTGATTCCAAAAAGGCTCTAAAATACCCAAAGTAAAAAAACGTTACTCAAGTAAAAATAAATTTTTACGTTTTAGACTATGCTATTGTAAGTTTTTAAGCAATTAAAAGAATACTGCTCGCTCGCTTAATTTGCTTGACATGAGATGAAAAATCAAAAATGTCAAACTTCTCGAACTTCTCGACTTTTCTCGACACTGAGAATTTTTTTTTGAAAATTATTAACGCGGTTCGAATCATAACTGTTAGGGCTTCAATATGATATGTCACTCAACCCAGTCCGATGATTATTTGAGGTTTCTGGTTTTGCAAGAAAATCAAAAAGAAAAAGAAAAAAAAGAAATAAGGATAGCTGGTTACTGTGCAAGTAGCACACAATGTTCCGACCATAGTCTTAAACAGAACAACAAAATTTTTCAAATTATTGTCATTTCTTCGGCGTGGTGTGATGAAAAGAGCTGAACAAAAAACCGGGGACTAGGTGTGTTCTACAACCATATTAAAGTCAGCAAATTAAATAACAATTTTGGTAGAAAAAAAACTGCCAAATTTTAAAAAAAATACAATCAGGGAAAAAATTTCGAAAATTTTCAAGTTTTTTGCAGTTTTTGAAAAAATTTGACTCCAAAAAGGCGCTAACATACTCAAATTAAACTAAAGTTACCCAGTAAAGCTAAGTTTTACGTTTCAATTTAAGCTATTGTAGGCTTTTAAGCAATTAAAATATAGCTACTCGCTCGCTTTATTTGCTCTAAATAAGACGAAAAGTCAAAAATTTCAAAACGGTTTTTTCTCATTACTAGAAAAAAAAAATTAAGATATTTTGTTGCGTTTGGAAACGAGACTGAAAGGGCTTAATATAAAATATCACCCAACCCAGTACAATGGTTAAAGTGGTACCTGATTTCGTGTGGAAACCAAAAAGAAAAAAACGTAAGCACACCCGAATACAAAAATGGAGAGTTCAATCGTCGGAAAGAATAATAAAAATTCAGTTATGATTTTCATCAAATTTAAATAAAAAATGATTTTTATAAATAATTTTTCGAAATTTTCGTGAGGAAAAACTAAAAATTTTTTCAATCCATTTTTTTTTCACGTTCTCAGGTTCTGAGAGATCTATTCTCATACAAAGCGAGAGTTGCAAAAAATTCCGAATAATCAAATGGCAGGTTGAAAAAATTTGTGCAGACAAAACCGAAATTTTAAAAGACATCAAGGTCGACTGGGAATAAAACTTGCATAAAAAGGAGTTTAAAATTTTCAGTTTGCTTTTTCAATTAATACTGTTCTGAGGTTTCCGCGGCATAAGATACCCGGGTCTAGTTGACATTGATAAAGCAATTAAAAATTGGACGAAAAACCGCGATCGCTAGAGATGAATTATCGATGTTCCTTGACACAATAGCAATTTTTATCGATGCATTATTGCTAACTTGGCTAGATTTTGATATGAAACAGCTAACAATAACCTGTCAAGTTAAGCAAAAACAGGGGCCTAATGGACTCTATCTCTCATTTATTAGCTTAGTAGATATATATGGCATCCCGGTGCCGCAAAGCTTTGAATTCTTACAAAGTATAGGAGCTTTTAACCCACACTCTCATTTGCTGGCCTATTAGAATGATTTTAAATTTCGAAAAATTTAGCTGTGATTTTCTTCGGAATCATTAGTTAAAGAGCCCTGAAATAGTGCAGCCTTAGCTATACAAAAAACCTAAGCATGATATCAGCGCTTAATTTATGCATCAATCAGCGCTGGAAAAAGCGATAACTGAGATACTACAGAAAAAGCGATAATTAACGGTGGGATTTTGAACCAGGTATCTCAACTGGAAAATAAAATTCTGAGTTTTGCTATTTTCACGAAAACAAACAGTCATTTCCTAGCTTGACCATTTTACAATTCATTTCCCTGTCTTAGAAGCTCGTATAAGAAGGAGTTTTCCCTGTCTTCGAAGGAGTTTTCCAACTTTGGTACAAAATTTTGAGGGTTGTTTTTTTTCTTGCAGTTTTTCATGGCTTTTAAATTTCAAAAAAACTTTCAACTGATTTTCAGAGTTTCCAAAGGAATTACTTTTCCACCAGTCTTGTAATTTTTTGTGTAGGGAAAATTGAAAAAGTGCAGCAGCTCTCCCCACCCTTCATAAAAAATCTTATACATAAAATCAAATACTTGGAACCCTTAATTGTCGTGCAGCCGGCATAAACCATCATTGCTTTGAAAACTTAGTTCATTCAAGGCATTCGTCAATTTTTCTACGAAGCTACTATCTCATAAAAATTCTTTAAAAAATAATTGTGAGATGTTTTGTTAGAAAGATTAACACTGAATCTCCTGAATTGAGATAACTGAAACGAATCTATAGATCCAAAGAGGACTGCCACACAGCTGTATTTTTAATTAAATGCCGCTCTGTAAAAAGTCTCCTGAAAACAATTCATTATGTGATTATAAACTGAGAAAGTATGCTCGCAAAAGAATCATCAGGTAAATTTTTGGGAAATCGGGCAATATTTTTGCTTTGTCTGGGATCCAAATATTTTCTGAATGGCTGATTATGTATTTTGATATATTTAGAAAATAAAAAGTCCCTGTCTTGTAACAATCTTGGAGCTTAAATTTGTAAATTTTTAAAGGATTTTCATTAGAGCGTTTTAAAATTTAGCAAAATTTATTCAACTTTGGGTTCATAAAAAATAAAAGTTATGATTAGTCCGCCCATAATCAGGCAGAAGGTCTGCATTTGGTTGAAATTTGATGTATATTTTCTATTGGATGGCGACTGGAACTTACTTTGAAAAAAGCTATAATATTATTTAAAAACTTTTGAGCTCTGAGTTTCTCTTTTTATATTTTTAATCTATGATTTCTGCAGGTAATTGAAATCAAGCTTTTGCTCGTCATTAAAATTCTGCAGTAGCAGGTCATTGAATGTTTTTTTCCCATCTGTGTTTCTGATGTTGCGTCCTTTTGTATGTATGTCCTGTGAGTATGTATGTATGTTTCCTTACTTATGGACATCTGTTCATCTGCTTATGTGTCCATGTGTATGCTGCTGTATGAACATCTGCAAATGTTTACCCAGAGTTGTTTCCTTTTTTGAATCTGTCTGCGTGTTCACATGACTTGGAAAGATCATCAATGCAAAACGATAGGCTTATACTTCATTGAAAATTTCTCGAAGACTTTGTTTGATGTCAACAGTTTTAGCGTTCAATCGAAGACAAACCTTTAAAAAGCTACCAATTTCGATCGCCATAAACAAAAGAAACATTTTGAAAATAATTTCGAGATAAGCTCGACAAACATCAAAAGTGAACATTTTTTTTCACATTCAACAATCTGAAAAAAAACATGAGAAAAAAGGAAAATTGTTGACTTAAGTAGACCAAAGGGGTCCATTAAAAACACTGAAGTAAAAAAAATACTCATTAAAAACTGAACAAAAGTAACCAATACTGAGTATTAGCTGCAGGTTTCGAGCGGCGTAGACAAAATAACCTAAAAAACATGGAGAGGAGAGTTGAGAACTGTCAGTCAACGTCTTTCGTCCAAAATGCTGATCAACGTGTAGTTCAACACAAAAAAAAGTTTTTATGCAAGTAGACATGAAAATTCCGACCACTTTAAATTATTCAAACCAATTAAAAAAGGAAGAAAAATTTCAAAGAGGTATTAAAAATTATGAGGGGCCCAGTTAGCTATTTTTTTCAAGTCACTGGCTAAATTGTTATGGCTAAAACAATGTAATTATGACTTTATGATTTTTAAAAATGTCATACAAAAAGGGTTCGGGGAGTTTGTGATGAAAGTTTAGTAGAAAAACGGGAAAAATTCACACAAAAAGTTTATGCTACGTTATGCACTCAAAAAATTAAACTTTTGCAAGCAAAAAAAATTTTCGGAAAAATTACTTTGAATACAAAACTCGTTTTGCGGTTAAAAAAAACAAAAAAAATTGAGGGCAATTACAAAATTAATTGGAAAATTTTTTGTTGTCACCATCAAAAAAAAGTGCTAGTTATACAAACTCTATTTATGGAGACTGTATGATTCGCATTTTTTGACAAAAATTTTTCTTTTTTATTTAGTACGATACACCGACTTGTACGTCAAAACAAGAAAAAAGTTCTCTGAAAATTCGATGACCCAATTTTAGCAAAATGTATGAAAATTGTAAGACTAGTATTTTTCATAGTCTTAGTTTATG